CATGCCCCTCTCCTGTCTCTCCTCTAGGTATACCTGCTTCTGGGCATGTGCTACTTCTGAATCCTGTCTATATCATTACGAGATCTCTAGCCACTCTGTGTCACTCCTAATTTTCTAGTTTTCTGCTTACTACCTTTTTACACTGTGTACTCCCCAGTTCTGTAGTGGGCAGTTACCTTTAACGTTACCTCTGTACCTTTTCTACCTTTGCTCTACTTAAACATGGTAGTTCCCCCTCCCCCTGCTCCGCCAAAAACAAACAAACAAACAAACAAACAAAACAAAAACAAAAAAAAAACTATGGAGACAGTACTTCTATTTTAGCCACAACTGGAAATGGAAAGTTGGGAGCCAGGAGTCAGTGCCAGTCATAACTTGAAAATGACACACTGTTGACTACATATTCCCCCACCTCCATTTGTCACTGCCATTTACTCATGACATCTACCTGTCTTGGCCCACTTTTACTTCCCTATCCCGCCTCCTTTTCTCCCCGCAGATGGGGTTCCCAGACCACCTGCTCTATCCCACATTGCTTAAGCCATACTCTGGACCTTGTCATCAGTAGGCTTGAACTATGTTATGTTGTACTTGGTCTGTTTAGTCTCAGGAGGTACACCCACGTCATTAGGACAGCTGACATCCTCTGTATCTCTATAGAACTGCCCACTTTGGAGACTATTAGTTGTGTTTCTCTTCCAGTTAACCTCATAAGGCATCCTGGGCTCCCTGGTCAGATTAGACTCCATCCCTGCTTGTACATTACCTTCACCACTGAACTTTAAAGAAAGACTTCATCCTTTCTTACTTGGCTCACTACAAACGGGTTCTACTGTGACTGTAATGTGTCTCATTTTTTAGCACCTGAGTTCCTTAAACTCCCAGTTTACTTGATACCTTTCATTCCTAGTAGATAACCATATGAGAAGTTAAAGGCCAGTAGCTGGGAATTCCTTGGTCTTTCTCAATAGTTTTGTCTAGAGCAGTGGTTTTCAACAGGGCTGCCCATTATAATCATCTGGGGAGTTTTAAAAATACTAATTCTTGCATGCCACTCTCCAGACATTTTGATTTATTTTATTTGTAATACAGACTGGGTATTAGAATTTTTGAAGCTCTCCAGGTGATTGTGATGCTCAGCTGAGGTTGAAAACTGTTTTTGAAGATCTGTCTCATTAGGTTTCCTTTACCAGGAGAGAAGACACTCAGGCCCTTTCCAAGGTTGTCTCTTTGGCTTCTGCAGAATTCTGCATCTCCCTTAGGACCTTCCTTGTTCTCCACTACATCATCTCTTTCTGGCATCTGCAGTCTTGCCCTGCTTTCTATTTATAAATGCACATTTTCTTTTCTTTTCTTTTTTCTTGAGATGGAGTCTCACTGTATCCCCTAGGCTGGAGTGCAGTGGTGTAATGTCAGTTCACTGCAACTTCTGCCTCTTAGGTTTAAGCGATTCTTGTGCCTCAGCCTCCCTGAGTAGCTGGGATTACAGGCGCCTGCCACCATGCCTGGGTAACAAATGCACAGATTTTGACTTAAAATTTCTTTTGGTTGATGCTGTCATTGGCCAATTAGAAGTGGTTCACTGTCACCTTCTTTCCAAATATTTTGCCCATTGGTCTGTTGTGATCTGCCCTCTGGACCTTCCAGAAACATTGATATATATGGTTCTGAATTCTCACATTTTTACCTCAAGAGTATATGATGAGGCCACTTTCTCCCTTGAAATTCTCTTTCCTTTGCTTCTGTAATACAAAAGTTTATCAAGTTTCCAAACGACTACTATTGCTGCCTTTCTCAAGTTCCTCAAACTTTCGTCCTTGGTTCTCTGCTCTGTCCTCTCCTGTGACTACCCTAGCCATTCTCTTGGCTTAGCTAGCACATCCAAGCAGACCTCCCTCCATCTGATCCTTTTCTTCAATTCCAGCTTTACTCTTTCAGCTGTCTAGTGGACATGCATGACCTTACTTTAGAACTCAGTGTATTTAATCATAAACTGTTCATTTGGCAGGGAATTCTGTACACCAGGTAGCATTTCTTTGGTAAGTGGTTGGTACAGTTTTCATGTTTCTAGTCTATTACTGTAGCTTGGAAGCTCTTTGAGAGCAGTGTTAAACATCTTGTAGCACAGGCCCAAACAGTGCCTTGCACTTAGGTGCTCATATATATTTGCCATTTTTATTTGAGGTAGATTCTTCTCTTCCTTTCCTTCCTTTCCTTCCTTTCCTTTCTTTCTTTCTCTCTCTCTCTCTCTTTCTCTCTCTCTCTCTCTCTTTCTTTTTCTTTTCTTTTCTTTCCTTTCTTTCTTTCTTTTTTTTTTTTGAGACAGAGTGTCACTCTGTTGCCCAGGCTGGAGTGCGGTGGTGCGATCTCAGCTTACTGCAACCCCGCCTCCCAGGTTCAAGCGATTCTCTTGCCCCAGCCTCTTGAGTAGCTGGGTTACAGGTACATTCCACCATGCCTGGTACCTGGCTACCTCTGTATTTTTAATAGAGATGAGATTTCACCATGTTGGTCAGGCTGGTCTTGAACTCCTGACCTCAGGTGATCTACCCGCCTCAGCTTCCCAAAGTGCTGGCATCACAGGTGTGAGCTACTGGGCCTGGCCTGGATTTTCTTTTAAGTGCCTGAAACTGCAAACTTTCTCTCTTCTCTTTGCTATAATCTTTTTGTTGATTCCGAGTCATCTTGTTCCACTGCTTCTGTCTACATTATGAGTCTCTTGGAAGCTGTTAAGTTCTTTTTCAGTATCTCCTGTGAGGAAGCAATACAAAATTGTTATTCATTTTAACACACTGATAGAAATCATGATGAGTTTTATGAAATAGCTTGTTCTCACGAGAAACATTGGCCATGGTTTGCTTTAGTTTCTTTTCGCTACCTTACTGCAGACCTCTCTTGTTTTAGGTTATGTTGGTTTTTATAATGGCATCAAGGTATAACTATGGAGGAGCAATGACTAGTATTAATGTGACTGTCCTGAAATTACAGTCATTAGTGAAAAATCATTAGCTGAGTAATCACATCCTTTATAGCACAGTGAATACCTAAGTGGCATTTCTCAAACCTGAATGTGCATATCAAACACTGGGGTATTGTTAAAATATAGATTCTGATATTCTAGGACTGTAGTGGGGCCTGAGAATGTGCATTTCTAACAAGCTCCCAGGTGATGTTGCTGTTGATCCAGGAATTGCAAGTAATGAATACTTGTAACTGGAACAATATGGTACAAAAATGTATAAAGTCAAACATTTTCACAGCTGAGGTGAATGAGTAATACACTCTTTTTTACCCTTCCTCATTGTTCACCTATTCACACCTATTTAGGGGGGTTTATTAGTTTATTTTTACCAACATAGAATTAAACTGTATCCATGATGCTGTAACTTTTCCATTTAAAATATGGAAATCCCTATAAATAAGTACATACAGAATATTTGTTTTCTAATTTATAGACAGTGAAAATCAGAATGTCATAATAGCTGTTTTTTAGAGTAACTTTTCTTTGTTTTGCTCATCTCTTATCACCTGGCAATTATTGATTTAATAATCCACTTAAAAATATTTTATAGCATTTATTTTCTTATAAACATTTTTAATGGAAATCCTGTGTTTGGCTATTTAAGTGAACATTAATTGTCATGAGCCGTAATAGGGAAATTAATTCAAAATAAGACATGAATTACAACAAAACAGACAATAGCAAATCTTGCCAAGGATATAAGGAACAAAAACTCATACACTGCTGATAGGGTATAAATTAGTACAACCATTTTGGGAAACCAGGCAGTATCTACTAAAAATGACATATAACATGCCCTATGACTCAGCAGTGGCATACATGTGTTTGCCAGATTTGCACCAGGATGTTCTTAGCAGCACTATACTAACCCTAAGCTAGAAACTGCCCACTTACCCAGCAACAGTAGAATCAATGCTGTTAGAATATATCATATGTGAAATATCAGCCATTAGAGCGAACAGACTAGAGCCACACAATATAGATGCATCTCACAAATGTGATGTTTAAAGGACAGGAGGAGCCAACGCACACCGCATAATTTCATTATGTAGTACACAAAAGGCAGTATAAGTTTGTGCTCTTAGGATATTGTCTACCATTGGTATGTGGTGGGGAAGTGAGAGGGTTGGGAGTTTCAGTGGGTGGGAATAGGCAGACTAGAAACATAGGATGATTATTAGTGGGCAGATAAATGTTCTGTTTCATAATCTGGGTGCTGTTATGAGGTGGAGGGTTTTCAGAGCTGCACAATTAAAGTCTACATTTTGTATATATTATACTTGAAAAAGTACATAAATGATAGTTCAGCCTGGCCTGTGGTCGTACTGAAGAACATTCATTTATATTAATGGGGTCCATCATTTGGAAGGTGAGCTCCAATCACTATCATTCTAATTCAACTCCTATTTTGGTGGAGTAGTTTGGGAATTCGATTCATGGGATGCAATCCCATATGGGGAAACATGACAATCTTCCTGAGAGTTGATGTAAACTGGGAATGAGAACTAATAATTTGCTCATAGATTTGTTGTCGAACAGACAGAATTACTATCCTCACAGAATTCAGAATGGACAACGTGCAATATTAGAACGCAATGAAACTTCAGTAGACTAAACGGCAAATAATTAAAAGCTGCCTTTTGAAGTGAGAGTATGCAATAGAACCATGTATCCCATAGGAAACCTATCCTTGCAGTTAACGTAAGAGTTTAAGATGCTCGAATTGTATCTTAAGATAAGCTTACAAAATTGGTATCAGAGAGCAAATGCCATAAAACAGTACCCCAGAAAGAAGGTGGTGGTATTACTGATGTATTGTGGGGAATGTAGTTTCAGACGCCGGGGGACCGTTCCCCTATCCCTAGGAATTGGTGAGGAAAAATGACTCCCCTGACCGTGACCTGCCTGGTGGCGTGGAATGACCACCACAAGAAACCATTTTGACACTTCCCGGGACCCGCCCGGACGGGGCGGGGCTGGGAGGCGGGCGCACGGCGATGGCGTCACCTTCCGGCGCTGCCTCTTGGTTTCCCTGGCAACTGGCGCGGTCTGGGTAAGGGAGATGCTTGCGAGGCGGCAGCGGGATCCCCTCCAGGCCCTGAGGCGCCGCAATCAGGAGCTGAAGCAGCAGGTAGGGTCAGGATGTGTAGAGGGGCCTGGGGCGGACGGTAGAAGCACGCAGCTGCGCGCACTACGCCTTCGTCACCATGCCCCACCTAATCCTGGGAGCTTGCCCCCAACCCACTTACCTTCCCAGGTTGTAACGCTCCCTTACGCCTTAGCATTCCAGCACCAAACCCGGCTTCAAACCCCTCCTGCTCCCAACTCAACCCCCAGCCAACGGCGAAACCTCCCAAAACTCGTGACTATCAGCTAAGCGCCCCTTCCTCCGATCGTCACTCCCACCTAACACCTCAGCATCCTACCCGAACAACTCACTAACTCACCTCCTCTCCCAATCTAAACTTCGATTAGTAACCATGTCCAATCCAACTCTGAGGCCAGTTCTTCTTCTCCACTTTCCAAGCCCATTTCCTTTGAGCCTTCTTAAGTGGAGATTTTTATTGCCTCCATGAACTCAAGTGAAATAGGTGACCAGGAATAGCCTTAATATGCAAGAACACTAAGATCTGACAAATGAGCAGAGGAGGTGAATGGGAGAAGAAATACAAGTAACTCAAACAAACGAGGAATGTTAACTTCAAAGATAATCAAGTAATTGCAAAGGACATAAGGTATCACAAAAAGTTTTAAAAATCACAACAATCAGTCTTGAGGAAGGTGTGACGAAGCAGGCATACTCACTGCTCCCGTGTATAAGGTGCCTGTACAGCCTTTGAGGAAAGCAGCTAACAAGGTGTAGCATACATGTATGCGCTTAGGCTCAAAAATTACATTTCCAGGGATCTGCTATATATAGTAATTAGAAAGAAGGACAGAGATTGATGTATAAAAGTATTCACATTGTTACTTAGAATTTGGATACAATTTAAATGATCAGTAATAGGGAAATAGAGAAATAATTTATGATGATATAATATGGTGATTACAATTTCATTAAAGGGTTTTTTAATGTGTTAAATATTTGTGACAAAATGTCAAGTTAGAAAAAGAATACAAATGGAACTTACAGTATTTCAATAACTTTTTCCTATATATAATATACACAGAACAACCAAAAGGAAACACGCTGATATGGTATTTCTGTGTGACAGGATGCTGATGATTATTATGATTTTCTTTATTCTTTGTTATATTTATAAAATTTTTAGGCTAGATGTGGTGGCTCATGCCAGTAGTATCAGCTACTTGGGAGGCTGAGACAGGAGAATCACCTCAGCCCAGGAGTTCAAGACTAGCCTGGGCAACATAGCAAGACTTGGTCTCAAAAAAAAAATGACTTTTAAAAAATACACAGAATATGTATTGAACATAAGAAAAAAGTAAATAGCAACCGATGGGTTTGTTTTCTGACATTTTATTTTACTTTATTAATTTTAATATTTTTCATGTGATTTATTAGCAAGTAGTTTTTGACTGACTAAAATTATTTTATAATCTTGGGCTGGTAAGAGATTCACTGATGCTCATATTTTTTCCATTTTTGTTCTCTTATTTAAAAAGTAAAAAGGATTTGGGAGTTAAATATTTAGGTGACTGTATTGGAATTAGAGTGGTGCAACAAAAGCTAAATACTCTTCTGGTAGAAATATAAAATAAAACTTGATGGGCATTGACTTATGCTGAACTTTTGTGGACTCAATATGGTTCTGTGTCTTATTTTATTTTTAAATTTCAACTTTCATTTTAGAGTCAGGGTTATATGTGGAGGTCTGTCACATGGAAACACTGTGTGATACTGAGGTTTGGGGTACAGATGAGCCTGTCACACAAGCAGTGAGCATAGCACCCAATAGGCAGTCTTTCAGCCTTCATTCCTCTTCCTTCCACCCCACTCCAGTGGTTCCCAGTGTGCATTGCTCCCATCTTTATGTCCATGTGTACTCGGTGTTCAACTCCCATTTACAAATGAGAACATGTGGTATTTGGTTTTCTGTTCCTATGTTAATTCACTTAGGACAGTGGCCTCCAGCTTCATCCATGTTACTGCAAAGGACATTATTTCATTCTTTTTTTATGGCTGCATAGTATTCCATGGTGTATATGTACCACCTTTTCTTTATCCAGTCTGCCATTGGTAGGTATCTAGGTTGATTCCATGTCTTTGCTATTGTGAGTAGTGCTGCAGGGAACATACACATGCATATGACATTTTGGTGGAATTATTTATTTTTCTTTGAATATATACCCAGGAATGGGATTGTTGGGTCAAATGGTCTTTCTATTTTAAGTTCTTTGGGAAATCTCCAAACTGCTTTCCATAGTGGCTGAACTAATTTTCACACTGATAGTGTATACGTGTCCTCTCTTCTTGTCAGCCTTACCAGAATCTGTCATTTCTTGATTTTTTAATAATAGCCATTTTGCCCAGTGTGAGATGCTATTTCATTGAAGTTTTAATTTGCATTTCTCTGATGATCAGTCATGATGAGCTAAATTTAAATTTAGTGTGACATGAGGAGAACCAGGAAAAGTTTTAGAAGGAAACCATAAAAATGATTATTAAAACAAAGTATTACGAAGATTATTCTCCCTGGAGAAATGTTGGCTCTGGAGCCTTTTGATACCTTGACTGTCTGGAAAGTATATTTTTATAGTATTAGCTCATTCTTCCCTGTCTTCACAGAGGACACCTGAAGCAGAAAATGGAAGAGATTTTCTATTCAGTGTCCATAGGACAAGTAATCAACAGCCCCTCTGGGTCATGCCTGTGATGACTGGCTCTGTCACTAGGTGTGTGAATTTTGTAAATAAGCACTCGGATGCCAAATTGCAAGAATAGAGAAGAAACTAGTGGAATCTTCTCTTTTTTTTCATCCACTTTATCTTCTCTATGTAATCTATAGAAAACAGACCAAAGAAATATGTGCTTTTTTTGGTGAGTATATTGACAAAGTTACATGTAGTGTTAGTAAACTTAATCTCCTAAGTCAAGATTAAACAAAATCATAGTACATTCAATACAGTAGATACCACTCAGTAATAAAAAGGAATGAACTAATGGTACACACAACAATATGGAAGTATCTCAAAAACATGCTTTCTGGAAAGGTTACACAAGAGTGCTTACTATATGAGTTCATTATATAAAATTTCAAGAGCAGGCAAAACTAATTTACATTGGAAGATATATCAAAACAGGTTTGTCTCTGGAGGAATGGGGTGGGGATTTACTGGCAAGGGCATGAAGGAACTTACTATGGTTACACAGATTTATGCATTTGTCAAAACTCAGCAAATGTATGCCTCATCTTTATGCATTTCACTATATGCATATTTTACATCAGCTAATGAACTAGTTAGTGACACCCATAGTACATTATTTAGGGAGAAATGTATTGATAACTAACTTATTTTGAAATGCATAAGATGAATTGATGGATGAATAAATAAGTATAGTAAAATGTTAATGTTTTTTCTAGGTAGTGGGCATATGAGTATTCATTGTGAAAATTTTTAAAACTTTGTTGTATGTCTAAAAGTGTTCATTGTAAAATATTGGATAAGAAGTTTTCTTTCCTAAGGCAATATGGTATTTAACAATGTGATACCTTAAATGGTCTCCACAGGTTGATAGTTTGCTCTCTGAGAGCCAACTGAAAGAAGCTCTAGAACCCAATAAAAGACAAGATATTTATCAAAGGTAAAGTATGCTAAATTATATAAGCTTTCCAGGAACTGCATTTACATTTCAAGGAATGGTATTTAAGGCATAGAGATTGGTCCTTCAGAATCAAATGGAAGAATCAGATAGTGTTGTAACTTGAATCCTAGAAGAAACCAACCTAAACCTGATGGTTGTGGACTTGCTGTTGTGACAGCAACTATGAAAACTGCTTAATGTAAACATAGGTGACTTGGGCAGCATTACCCTGAATCCTTGGCCTGTGTAGCCCAGATCCTGTGACCTGGTCAGAAACCTCTGTCTAAGAAGCAGTTAGTCCTTGATTGGGATGTTGACTTTAACTCCCATGAGAAGACAAAACTGTTTTCTAGGTGGGTGTTTTTTGTTTTGTATTTGTTTTTACTAAAAAAATTAAAATACCTGGGAGAGTTTAAAATTAAGTAGACGTGAACTAAATCAAATTTAGACTATTATTTATAACATTTGTATTAAGTTTAGGAAGGACATCATTAAGATAATCTTTGTTTTTGAGATATTTAAAGATTTTATAAAATTCCAAAAAACATGAGATTCATTCTATTAATTCAAGTGAATTGTAATTGTTTGGAAAAGTTTTACTTAAGTCAGGCATACAGAGTGCTTAAAGGCAAAACAAATAAATTTTGAAATGTTAAGTGAATTTAACTTATAATTATTAGTAGGATTGTTTGAGGGATTTAGTTTAAGTTGAATTAACGGTAATGAAATAAAAGCAAAGGGCTGGGCGCAGTGACTCACACCTGTAATCCTAGCACTTTGGGAGGCCGAGGTGGGTGGATCACCTGAGGTCAGTAGTTTAAGACCAGCCTGGCCATCATGGTGAAACCCCATCTTTAAAAAAAAAAAAAAGAAAAAAGAGAAAAGCAAAGGTTATTGTACTTCCTTTACTAGATTTAAAAATAGATTAAGAAGTATAGACTGAATTTGAAGTCCCAGGGAAAACTAGGTTTTAAAATTTTATGTTAGTAAAATAAAAATAATAATAATTATTTATTTTTTCTTTTTTGAGACCGAGTCTCACTCTGTAACCCATGCTGGAGAGCAGTGGAACAATCTTGGCTCACTGCAACCTCTTCCTCCCAGGTTCAAGCGATTCTCCTGCCTCAGGCTCCCAAGTAACTGGGATTACAGGCACGTGCCACCACACCTGTCTAATTTTTGTATTTTGAGTAGAGTTGGGGTTTCACCATGTTGCCCAGGCTGGTCTTGAACTCCTCACCTCAACTGATCCCCCAACCTTGGCCTCCCAAAAATCTGGGATTATAGGCGTGAACCACTGTGCCCAGCCTAATAATTATTTTTAAGCCCAAGTAACTATAGTCTTCCCTGTGCATGAAAAGATAATCGTTGCTGTCATTTAAAAACTCACTTTGACATTTGCATGTCTGAAAATGTCATTTAGGTCTCATTTTTATGTGCTCAACACTCTGAGTTTTTTCAGTTTGAAAACTCATGTCTTATGAACTCTGGGAGATTTTATTTTACGAAAAGATTGAAATTATTTCATTACTTTGGTTTGTCTGTTTCTTCCTGAAACACCCTTGAGTCAGGTATTGAATATCCTGGTCTGATCCTCTAGATCCCATAACTTTCTGATAATAGTTTTTGTTTCTTTGTCTGTTTGTTTACACCCTGGAAGATGTTTTTTTTTGGGGGTGGGGTGGGGAGGGGTCCCACTCTGTTGTCCAGGCTGTAGTACAGTGGCACAATCATGGCTCACTGCAACTTCTGCCTCCCAGGCTAAAGGGATACCTCTCTCCCCCGCCATGAGCTACCATGCTGGCAATTCTCTTGACTTTAATACTTTTCTTTATTGTCTATTTCAACAGCCATATTGTTTTATTTCAGCAGTCATACTGTTTTTTGTTTTGTTTTGTTTTGTTTTTGAGATGGAGTGTTGCCCAGGCTGGAGTGCAATGGCACGATCTTGGCTCACTGCAACCTCTGCCTCCTGGGTTCATGCAATTCTCCTGCCTCAGCCTCCTGAATAGTTGGGATTATAGGTGCATGCCACCACATCCAGCTAATTTTTGTATTTTTAGTAGAGATGGGGTTTCATCATGTTGGCCAGGCTGGCCTCGAACTCCTGACCCCAGGTAATCCACCCACCTTGGCCTCCAAAAGTGCTGTAATTACAGGTGTGAGCCACTGTGCCTGGCTAGCAGTCATATTGTTAATTTACAGATGTTTTCTCTTGTTCTTGAATTGTTCTTGTTTCATAGCATCATGTTCTTGTTTTCATTTTGATTGCCTTCTTTTTTTTTTTTTAAACAGAGTTTTGCTTTTGTTACCCAGGTGGAGTGCAATGGCACGATCTCAGCTCACCGCAACCTCCACCTCCTGAGTTCAAGCAATTCTCCTGCCTCAGCCTCCCGAGTAGCTGGGACTACAGGCATGCACCACCATGCCCAGCTAATTTTTGTATTTTTAGTAGAGACGGGGTTTCACCTTGTTGACCAGGATGGTCTCGATCTCTTGACCTCATGATCCACCCGCCTCGGCCTCCCAAAGTGCTGGGATTACAGGCGTGAGCCACCGCGCCTGGCTTGATAGCCTTCTTAATACTTCCATGACTAGGAAACTTTTTTTTCTTAAGTTCTTTTCTGTTCTCTGAATTGTCTTTGCTTTCTCTGGGTTCTGATTCTTTTAAATTAGTTAGTTAATTAATTTATCTGTAGTTATTCTTAAATTTTATCTTTCATGTTGCTGGTTTTCTTTATTAGGTCTGGCTTATCTATCTTCATTTAAGAATGAGGGACTAGGTTGATTATTACAGAGAACCCTCATGGGTTTTTCTACTGTTAAATAGATAGGGTTCTTTCCTGCTAGTACTATCCCCTGAATAAGAATTAATTTCTGTACATTGACAGGGCTTTTCAGAGGCTAGGAAGTAGCTTTTAGTATGAGGAGCCCCCAATGCCAGAATAGGGTGACTTTAACCCTGCTGTATGGGAAACTTCTTTAGCAGCCATGATTCTCTTCAGGTCATTTGTTAATTGTTTTTGTTTATTGTTTTTTTGTTTTTAGGGAAAAATCCCCTGGTAAGGAGGGAGAGCAGAGAAGGGAAAAGGGAGCTAACTGGCTCAGGTTTTCTGTAAATAGACTTTTAAAAGCCCTAAGACTTATTATAAAAGAGCCCCAACTAAGTCTAAACGTAATCAATATCATTACTCTTCCCTTGAATAACATGAAGACCTTAGATTGCTTTAACATTTATTTCCCTCTTCAAAGCTTAGATGTATGTGTATGATTTAATTTACACAGTATAACACAGTATTATATAAGGTATAAAGTAAACCCCAGTCACTGTGCATGTCTTTTCGTCTGTAAGATTTCATAATGCATCCCTCTATGATTTAGTTTGTTAACCTTTGATCCTTTATGTCTGCTGACTCAAGTCCTGGAGTTTCTGCCTGGCAGATTATCTCTCTCTTATGCTTGTGTGGCATCTTCCTCCCTTTACAGGAGGACATGCTTCCAGCCTTTTTCCATGGAGCAGAAATTTGTTGAAATCTCTTTCTGGCTAGTTGTCCCTCGTTCATTCTTTTCAGTGTTCAGGGTTTGCTACCTTTTCAAACATTGTAATCACTTTTTGTGGGGTTTCAGTAGGCAGTGCAGATGAATGTGTGCTTAGTTTTTATCCAGAACCAGTAGTCTTAAAATATCAACTGTTTGAGGATTTTAAATTACATAGTTATAAAGGAAGTAATTGTAATAAATAATTTATTTTCTTGGTACATTATATTGAAATAGTTTTTCACTCTGGCCTTTAAGTGAAATTTCTAAGTTTGAGTAAAGATTTTTTTGGTCAAGTAACATGACAGATGTCAAAATAAATGGCTTTACTGTTAGTCTCATTTGACAAAGCCCTGCAGCTAGCTTCTCTGAGGGCGGCTTCACGGACTGTGATATCCTCGAAGACCAGCCCTTGCTGTCATTCCACCCTGCCATCCTTTGCTTGTTGGTAATGTCTCTTCTTACGGTTACAAAGTCCATACCCTCAGTATCTAAGAGCAGATGTGAGAGGGATTCTTTTCATGCCTGGAAAGGGAAAATAAAATGAGAGGCAATCCCAACATATTTGTTTTGTGTTACACTGGCAGCCCTGGGCCCTCTGCCCACCCTGGAGGCTGAGAACATAGGTGCCAATGGGAAGCTGACTGCGCAGAAACGAAGGGTGGGCGAGGGGCTTATGGGGAGGTCATTAGCAGGGGCAGCCCCAATTTGATGTTTCCCCTTCTCTTTTTCTACCCCTTTGACAAAGGAATTTTGTTCTCTTTAAAAATTTTTTTATTTATTAGTGTTTTTTATTTTTTCTTCAACTTTTTAAAAAAAGTTCAGGAATACATGTACAGCATGTGCAGGTTTGTTACATAGGTAAACATGTACCATGCTAGTTTGCTGCACAGACCATCCCGTCACCTAGGTGTTAAGCCCAACATCCATTAACTATTCTTCCTGATGCTCTCCCTTCCCCAGTACCTCCCTCCTATAGGCCTGGGTGTATGTTGTTTTCCCCCATGTGTCCATGTGTTCTCACCATTCAGCTCCCATTTATAAGTTAGAATATGTGGAGTTTGGTTTTCTGTTTCTGCATTAGTTTGCTGAAGAAAATGGCTTCCAACTCTATCCATGTCCCTGCAAAAGACATGATCTTGTTCTTTTTCATGGCTGCATAGTATTCCATGGTGTATATGTACCACATTTTCTTTATGCAGTGTATTATGGATGCGCATTTAGGTTGATTCTATGTCTTTGCTATTGTGAAATAGTGCTACAGTGAACATATGTGTGCATGTGTCTTTTTTGGTAAAACGATTTATATTCCTTTGGATATATACTCAGTAATGGGATTGCTGGGTCAAATAGTATTTCTGCCTGCAGGTGTTTGAGGAGTCACCACACTGTCTTCCACGGTGGTTGAACTAATTTACACTCCCACCAACAGTGTATGAGTGTTTCTTTTTCTCTACAATCTT